TTTGAACTGATGCAAAGTGAACAGAGCAGAACCAGGAAATCACTGTACATAGTAACTTAATGATCAACATAATGATGATCAGCTGTGAAAGACTTAGCTACGCTGATCCAAGAACGTTCAAAAGGACTCATAAAAAACCCTATCAGCCTTCAGAGGAAGAATTATGACCTCTGAGTGCAAACTGAAGTATAGTTTTCTCATTTTATTTTTGTTGCATTTTTATGTAATATGTATAATATAAAATATGTTTTGTGTGCTTTCACATGTGTAGCTGATTTCATATTGTTTGCCTTTTCAGTGGATAAGAAAGTGGTGACAGGGAGAAAGAGAATTTGGTACTCAGAATTTAAAAAAATAATGTTAAAGATAAATAATAAATTTTTTAAAAAAAGAAAAAAAGGAATGATAAAAAAGTAAAGGACATGTGAGAAATTTAACAGGCCAATATGGGAATGAGGACATTCTAGACCAGGAACTCTTAACCTTTTTTGTGTGTGTCACAGAACCCTTTGGCAGTCTCATGAAGCTTATGGACTCTTCAGAATATTGTTTTTAATTGTATAAAATACATAGGATTACAAAGGAAACCAATTATATTGAAATATAGTTCTCTCTCTCCTACCCCTCTCGTAGGGACTTAAATGTTTACTGACTGACTGACAGAAGAATGTAGGATATGTGGGAAAAAGTAGGCCAACATAGAGTGTGTAGAGGAGAATAATAAGAAATAAGTCTGTAAAGGTAGGATGATGCTAGATTGTAGAGACCCTGGCATATGAGGTAAAGGTGTATGAATTATGCAGTAGACAATAGGGAGCCACATTGGATTCAGAGAAATTTCAAAAGGAAAACAAACAAACAAATAAACCTCACAAGACCATGACTTAAAAAGATTAGTGCAATAAAAGACAGGGAAAATTCTCCAAAAGTTAAATCATTTATACAGATTACATTGTGTTAAGGTTTTTACATATACTTCAAAAGCATGCTTCCAAAAACTGCAAAAATCTCTGGACAAATGTTGCACATAGGCGATTTTAATTTTTCTATGATTTTAAAAGTTTCTCTGATTTTTGCAGAATGATTTAACTCAGCACATACAGTACTCTACTGATGGCATAACAGTGATATAGCCCCACTAAAAATCCTATACTAGTGCCTTATTGTTGCATGAAGGCGACTACAAGTTCTTGCAAGCTATGCCACTGACTTCAATTCAACTCAATAAGCATTTGTTCGTTACTCTGTGTCACTGTGCTAGGAATGACAAACTCCAATAGTTCCTTAAAATATAGAAGGTCTTTGAGTATGGGACCCAGCAATTATGCTGTTATTTCAGGATCAACCTTGAGTCTGGGGAAGGCTAATGCTAGAAAGTTTGCAATGATTGCAAACAAAGTTATGGATTTTGGGGGCCACTTCTAACTCATGAAATTATTGCACATGTACAATAAATGATATGTATGTGTGTCAAATGACATTTTACACAAACATAAGAAACTCATTAATAAGGCATAGTGGACTTTCAGTTTGTATCAGTGGAGGGGGTATTCATACTGATGAAACCTTAATACATGAAACATATTATCATGCACATTGACTTATGGCTAAAGTTGTGAAATGGCAAAATGCTATTTAAGATAATTTTATTATCAGGGTTCAGACAACCTTAAATCACAGGTAGTTTAATAAACAACATACAATACATGTGTGATAAATGACACACTGTAATATTACACGGCACATTGCTTATTATAATGTAATATTATATAATAAGTCATTATGGGGATATTTGTGAGTGGAAATATTTGTTCAAAATACTTTCCCTGTAATATTCTTTTCTATTCTTTTCTTTTATTCTAACACTCTAGATCCCAAATTTCTGCCATCATTAACTCTGAACTTATATATCTTCTTCATCTACATAGTTTAACTTCTGTTTGTCCAAATGATCAATGCTGAGTCCTTAGTGACCAAGGTTTCAGATCTATATAAGTTTTATAAAAACTTAGAAGATTTCATTAATCTTTTTTTACTCCTACCACTGTCAATTCCCTAGAAGGTTTATATTCAGTCAAGATAACATCCTTTCGACCTGCTATCATTAATCTTATTTCTAAACCAGTTTCTTGCCTTCTCAGCACTCTCAGAGCAATATCTTCAAGACCAATGAAATATAAATGTTTTGTCCTTGCTACCAATGTCTATCAACTGAATCCAACTTTTGGTTTTTTTTACTGATAGTCTCTGGTCCTAAGAACATACACTTCTTGGTAGATAAAATTGGCATCACCAAATCTTAATGCACCTAAGGTCCTGGCCTTAGCATACAATTCATTTTGTATAGATATAAGTAATAATGCTTATTCTATTTCTGGTGGAAAATAAAACACTGCCAGATTCATTCAATCTCTTCATTGGCAAGGTGTTCATACAACAGAGTTTTTGTTACTAGTTCTCCTTTAAATTTGCCATTTGTATAAAAAAATCAGCTAAGGGATAAATTACTTTTATTATAGTTTAATGCAATTTGGAAAAGGTAAAGCTACATTAAATTGACCCTGCAATTGAAATAACAAATGCCAAGGGCACAGTAAATCATTAAAGTGATTAGTATGATTGTTGTTTTTTAAGTAAAGACTACAGGATCCTTTTTGCATTGGAAAAGATGTAAATATAACATTTAAAAATTAACATTTTTGTAATTCTATACAACTTCAGTAATAAACAAAATAATAAAATCTTCAATAAGGAGATATTTGCTAAATTAATATTTCCTCAAATTTTCTGAGGCTTTATCATTTGAATTTTCTCCCAGATTTTATTTAGGGGACTATTACTAAGCTTCTAAGATCAATGTACATTTCTTTATTTTTCTTCTCAGGTAAATCTCATTTTTATTAAAGAAAATATTCAATTAACCTTGAATAGTCTATATAGTCAAATCTAATTAGGTATGAATTGGGGATGGAGTAAAGCTATAGTAAACACTCTGTATTGAGTTCATTACTAACATATTATTGGCTTTCTGCCTGACATCAAATAGGTGATTCATTAGGAATAAGCAACTACTCTTACAATACCAATTAGATGACCAAGTATCTTGAAATAGCAAGCATATAAGAGAATAAAGTAACCACACGGGAATGAACTAAAATGTGGGACATTGGAGCACTTATGACAGAAACATTTCCAGAAAAGAATTTGCTTAGCTACTGCAAATTTAAGAACCTTTACATATTTTAATAGTGATTGAATAATCTAGAAGGTCACAAGGCTACTTTTCAACTGGCAGTCAATACAGAAGAAATTAAATACAAATCTGCTGCTGTATTAACCAAGTGGCTTACTATTAACCTGTAAAAACTATAAAGGAAAAAATTTCTTTGCCTTCTTTCTTAGATTTCTTTGTTAAAATTTGTCCTCATAATAATGATCTAATTTCAAGTATTATTTTGATATATAACCACTATGCAGATGTGGAGCTTTGGCACTTGATGAAACTCAGATTTGGGAAAGAATTATGTAGCAAATAGACTAACCATTGGAAAGTAGTGATAGGTCCTGAATTCTAGTTCTGGGTACACTGGATATAATACCTTGACCATGGATGGCTATTATATTCACCCTGTCTAACTCTGAAGTAGTTGTAATGATTTCTGTGCTATCCTAATACATAAGATTATTTTGAGAATAATGGTGAAAGGGAAGGAAGGTTATAAAAGTTATTAAACTGATTATTTTTTCACAGGGGTAAACTGAGGCTATAAGACTTTTAATGATCTCCTAGGGCAACACAATGAACTACTATCAGAAGCAGAAGTTTGCTTTTCTACTTCTACATTACAGTACGGCTGCAAACTGATGGTTAAATTATGGCCCAATGACAAGTATGTTCTCTTAAAGAAGAGGTGCAATTTATGAGATTGGTATGACTAGAAATTTCAGTGTTCTTCTTAACAAGAGCTAGTTAGTCTAACTCTACCCTAGGGCTTCAAGGAAACTCTATAAGCACTTTTTGAATCAGTGCCATGGCAGTTTAACATGGAATTTTGGTATTTCATATTTGCCACACATGATCGGTCACTAGTCTCATAAATCTTTAGAGAAGATGATGATTTATCTGAGTGCTTGCTTCGTTTGGACTGGTCCAGGAAGCATTTATGCATCTCTCTGGTAGCTCCAGCTCTAGAAGATCAAAAACCTGTCTGCTGTTCTGAACAGATGTTTGGTGAGGGATTACAGAGCATTGTAAAGATCCATACTTTTCCCCCAATTAAAATCTAACTACTTAGAAATGTAACATAGCCACATTTTAAGCTGATATTAGAAATTTCTGAGCATAAAGATTACAACTATATCCACATACCAAGCCAACTAGTTGAAAAGTGGAAAAAAACTCAGCTAATAAAGTAGTTATTTGCATTATGTCATCAAAAAACTGAGTCTGACTTCTTGAAATGACTAATTTTTTCAATAAATTAACTGGATGATCCCTCCAACTAATAGTTTTGTCTTTGTCCTCAAGTACTCTGAGAGCACTCTGTCTCTCCCACCTCACTGTAGAATGTAAGCTACTTGGAGGTATTGTTTCATTTTTTTCTTTGTATTTCCAGGACCTAATACCCTGCTCACAGACGCTTAATAAACATATGTTGAATTGATTTAAACTGTGTAGAATGTTTGAAGAGGTGTTTTTCTTGGGATGAAACACCTGTATCAGGTACAATGGGGAGAACTGTTTATAGAATTCCACTGCCCTTTGTGGGGAGCTCTCTTAACCCTATAAATTCATTAATGATTTTTTCAAGCTCCCTTCCTAAACTCACTGGTTACAGGTCGTATTGTTATAAATGTACAGCTAGAAATCATTTATGATTTTTCATAGGTATGGGAGAATTAATTTTTTTCTTTGTTGTCCCGACCCAGTCCAATCACATAGTATGGATTTTTTTAAAAGGATAAAAAATGCATGCTATACACAAATACATCATACATACCATTGCTGTAATTATAATAGACCCACTGTCCACTTTTGGGTTTTGGAAGTGACACTGGTGTCTCTTCTGCGGGAAAATTGTAGAAACGGCATTCTACAAATAGGCGTTGTATAGTGTCATCCATGGCTACTCGGGAATCATTGAGGCTTAGAGCTATAATCTCAATCCGAATTTTTTCTGATGGCTGTTAAAAAGGGGGGGTGGAGATAAAAAGCACTTTATTCTAAGCTTTTAATGTCAATTTTAAACAAACATGAAGGGCAATAGGTTTCCTTTTTGCAACACACTGTACACTATTTTACAGTAACACATGATAGATTATTCAAGACAGAAAGAGAGAATGAGATTCCAATGCCCCAGGGTTTGAAGTTAACAGCGTCATGGCAATAGTTTCCTGATTTACATTTCAGGCTATAAATACCTTACTAGCAGTCCATCAGGAGTGAAGATTATGAGATCTTCATCTGTGTCTGGTTTCTGAATCACAAATATTAGTTGCCCTTATTTCAAACTATATAATGAATCACTGTTTATGATGGTGTATTTATCTAATCTACAGTATTGGAGAAAGTTTCACTAATTCACATATCAAAGCTTTCCAATTGGATGAATATCACACTATTCAAAGGCCCGCTGAATACTTCATTATCATTTTAAAAACATAAAAAGCTATATTAATTTTTCTTTCTTATATTTTTGGTCAATCTACTTAAGTACATTTTAAGGCCAAAAGAGAACATTTACATTGTGTTTAATATCCATAAATTTATCTGAAATTCATTTCCTCTCCTCTTATGCTTTAAAAAAAAAAGCTTTAAGTTGGGGGTCAGTGTACAACATTACACCATAAACAGGTGCTTGGTACTAACTCTTTACTTCTGTTAGTTCTAACTTTATGAATGACCACCATCTTCTAATAAGTTGTACATGTTACGAACATTATTATTGTCACAAATGTTTCCATAAGAATGATTTAAAAGAATAGAATATGATGTAAAATTAGGTTTTATAGTAAAAAAAGTCAAAAGAAGTGCTGTGATTAATAAAAAGAATGGAGCCTCCCACATTTATGAGATGTCAAATTTTCTTCACAACTTGTAAGGTATTCTTTGAATCAAGTCTAAATTATGTCACCTTAAATAATAATTAGAAACTGGAAAGTAAGATATATTTGAGAAGATGAGATTTTTAGGAGTTAAATTCAAATCAGTGTACAAATCCATCAGAGTAATTACTTAGATATTTCAAAGCATATTTTATAATTAATCAAATTAAAAACCTTAAGTATTCTATTGTAAAAATATTCTCCATAAAGAACAATTTCCATTGCTGTCAAGCCCCTTCAATATTTGATGAAGTAATTTTGCCCCCTCCTTTCAAAAGACATTTTCTTTTATTATGTATTCTAAGACACTTTAACTAAAAACCCAAATCTGAATATTTCAATAAGGTTGTTTTATTATTCAGTAGATTCATGGAAATTTTACTAGGATGACAGAAAAAATTCCACACCATTCTGTCTCCACTAATACAGGTACAAGGCTGCAGCTGGCAATATTACTAGGATTAGCATAGTATGATGAAATATTTAAAGGAAATTTTTTTCTAAAACCTAATAAATCAAATGACTGCCAAATGTCATTAAAGTGATGGTCTTTGACTTGAATATGCTTTTCATATTCAAATTTGAAAAGAAAGAGATGAAAGCCTGGAAAGGTTACTCGGTTTCAACTAATAACCTCAAGCACTCTCCATTCACATGCATAAAAAATGAAATTGGCTCTATTGTCTAATCTCACTTCAGAAACAACTCATCTCTTCTTGCACAAGGCTAGTGTAGTAAAAGAAATATTTTAAATAATATTCTTTTTTATTTTTTGCAAAATGTTTTGTGGTTGTCAAAACTATTTCCCATTCACACAGTTTATACATACAACCCAAAAGTGGTAGTGTACATAATTAAGTCCTCTATGTTACTTAAAAATTCACTTGACAAACTTGGCATTGCCATAAAAATAATGCTGTAAAAAGTATTAATGTTGTTGCATAAACAGACTATTTGGAAAACAACTATAGAGAGGTAAAAATAGAATTACATACACATATAGATTTGTAGGTTGTGAAGAAACGGAGCTATCAAATTGCTTAAGCAAAAGAAGACAAACAAATCATTAAATATCAGGGGAAATCAAATGTGTTTAAATGCATAGTTTATTAATAATATATTAACTATAGGGGTCACATATTTAAAATTTTGCAATATTTTAAGAACTGACTGAGGCCCTAAAATAAGGTAATGCAATTATTAAAATCCTAATGCTAGACATCCAGACACCAACATATGTGCCTTTCTCCCTCTACCAGTTTTCTTGTATTAAAAAATCTTGATTTTTAAGTGGCTTTTGTAATTTAGGACATTGAGATTTCTTTGTCCATTGCAACAACTGGTAATTTCTAACACTAAAAAAATGTAGCATTAGACAATTCTCATAACATTTAAAGACTAACATTCATGGTATTTGGAGTATTCTTTTTTCTAGGTGCTTTCCCCTAGGAGTACTTAGGAGGCTATTTCTCCTTGTTTTTATTTTAAATTGTGTTTGTGTGTGTATGTTTAAACAGTACTGTACAGGGGTCAGGTAATTAGTTCTAGTCTTAGCTCTACCACAGAATAGCTGTATGACCTTGAACAAGATACTTAATTTCCCTAATCTTCAATTTCATCATTTGTAAAATAAGATTATAAAAGATGACCTCTAAAGATCTCATCCAGCTTTAAAATAGTTATTCCATGATTTACCATCAAATGATGCAAAGAGTGACAAGTTTATGATTTCAGTAATTCATCAGATAAAGTTAAAAAGGACAAGTGAAAAAGATAATACAAAAAATGATAAGCACGGAGAAAATTAAGCCAAAAGAATATTTCTGATAAAACAGGGATTGCAAAGGAATTTAAAAATACATTCCGGATGCACTTACTTTTGTTTCCTATGACGATTCTAAATGTTTTATAAACCAAGAAATTTAGGTATCCTAAATTACAATGTGATTTAACAGATTTCAACTTAAGATTACTGGTAGGAGAAATATACACGTTTAGGCCTCTGATGATTGATGTACTGCTTTATAAGGGTTGGCAGTGTTAGTATATGCAGATAGATTGATTCACAATGCTGACTAGGGATCACCATAATAAGAAGTCAGCACATACAGAGCCTGTTGGAGGCAGGTACTATCCCCATAGAGCATCAGTATCTTTCAGATACCAACTGCCAAAACTAAGAAGAAAATAAAATTGCTAGCTATTGCCTTCCAGTTCCAATACCACTTCTGGTTCTTGACCAATCATAATTCATATTTGATACCATATGTTTCAACAATACCTGCACAGACTGTTTACCTTATCCAAGATTTTTGGTTTGACAGATGGGAGGGTGCCACTGAATTTTTTTTCTGGTTTCAACAGTGATAGTAACCAAATGGAACCTTTAATATTATATTTCTGAAGGGATAGTATCTGGACTGTGATATTGATAAAGAGACTGCTCAGGTGAGAAAACATCACTCTACTAATGCACCTTCTCTGCATCTGGTAGTCACTGAGAAATTAAGTGACACATAGCAGTGTGTCAAAGAAAAGACCTGAACTCAGATATTCCTGGCCTTGAGGCTGGTTCTGTATTCATGACAGTATGCTGTTTTTGTTTTTAAAACTATATATAATTTAGTGGTCTTAAACATCAGATTTGAACAAGACTAAAAGAATGTTTTTGAGAAGTTATGTTTTATTTTAGGAAAAGTACTTAATTAGAAGCCACTGTACACATAACTTTATGCTAGAAATCTGAGTTACAAAGGAAGTAGAAAATATAATCCTTGCTCTCTAGAAGTTCAGATTCTAATAGGGGCAAAAAACAAGGGTAAGTAGTTGACTGTAGTACAAATTCTCTCTATAGAGCTCTATGCAAATAGAAGCATTAATGAATGCTAATTGATGACCATGTTGATGTCAACTTTTCCCTATCTCTCCACTCCAGGCTGGGGATAGAACGAATCTGACTAAATAGAATACTCCCTCCTTTTCCTCACCCTCACCATTGAATCTTCTTGTCTTTCTAGCCTCTACCTTATCTTTATTATTACACATTTTGGTTTAAAAGGTCTTTACTTTGAGTTCTTTGGGGAAATAAGGGTACACAGAGACAGCTGTCTGTTATATATACGTTAATCAGCAAAATATTTATTGAATAGCATTACTGGAATGGGAAGTTTAAGGGAAAAACAGCAATCAGTAAAATATATATATGCATGTATGTATGTATGTACATATACACACATAGAAACACACATATCCTTGTCTTCCAAAAGCAGATTACTGGTTTAAGTTAAATCTCTTCCTTGTTTAAGGTCACTAGTATATGAAAATGTTTATATACTTGAGGAGTATGAGCTAGCAGCAGCAAACACATTTTTGTGTGACTAGTGGCCCAATTTAAAAACAATTATTTGTCAATATACCCATGCATATCTTCATAAAGGCAAACACCAACCTATTAACTGATTATATTCCAAAAGTTCCTTTCTAAGTTGGTTATTTGAAACTTGGAATACATTTTCCCATTGTTTCTCTAAAAAGAATGTTATAAATGGTTAGGCTTTCCCACAAAACCCCATTAATATATAACATATCAAAAATATAGTACCACAGTATTTCACCACATGCAATAATGTTTTAAATAAAGAATAAATTCAAAGTTCTAAATGAGGGGTACCAGAAATACATCTCCTTCAGATGTTGATCTTCATTATGTGCTGGGCAGCAGGAACACTAGTTCCAAGTTAGGTGGCAGTTCCTATGATCTGAAGCAAGTTCTTTTGGCCAGGGCATGATCTAGGAAGGAGATGAGGACCGGGGGAGGTCACAGGGGCCAGGGGCTTCCTGCCAGCATAAATTGCTAGGGATACTTCTTGGTCCCAGGCTGGTCTCACTGGTTCCCTTTCTTATCTCCCAAGGGTACCAGGGAACTGTACATGTATACCCACTTTCCTTTTTACTGCCACCACCAATTACTTTCAACCAGTCCTATTGTAGAACAGAACTCAGTCTTCTAGATTTTCTTTCTTTCTCTTGACCACTCATACCTGTTCCTGAAGTATATGCCACACTTTGACATTTTTTAA